TCTTCTTACTAAAATCAAGAGAGCTTGAAATGCTGCTTCCGTTTGTGCATTCTATTTCTGTATGAATGGAGGTCGTCTTGAATTGCGGTAGAAACTTCATCTTTGTTTACTTCCCACACTAATGTTTTTCACATGAATTTGTCTAAGAAATTTAGACTCCCGCGTGTTTATTTTTTTTCATATTGCATTGGTTATAGTCTTCGAATTTCCTGTATAATTTCAGTTGGATTTGGAAACTAGACGTGACTGCTCTACCTGTTCTTTGAGCGTGTGCAGTGCAAAGTGGATCCACATTATTAATTATTATAATTATTTAAACTATTATTTTAAACTCAGCCAGCATACCGAGCCTGCACCGAAATTCTTGCGATGAAAGTAGCGGTTAAACTTTCCAGGCGTCGCTCGCAATGAAAAGATTCCATGCACGCTCATGAAAGTTTTTTTCTGATGGATTTTCAGGTTCACCTTGTCGCCAGTTGCAAACACAACATTTATTGAGGCTATCCAATCATCCCAGGCGTTGCCTCAGAATGATGATGTAAATTGACAAGTCTTTAGTGTTCTCAAAATGCTGAACAGGAATGAATCCATATCGTCGGGAATGAAAAGGAGTCTACGGTATTTTTCGTAATAATACAAAATTCATGATACTGTATTGAAAAATTCATTATACAAAATTCTTTATGATACTGTATTTGTCACGCATTCCTGCGTGTTAACCTAATTTGCAAGATACTGAAAAATTTTGATTACACTGAGGTTGACGTTTTCGTAGTGGAAAATTTAGGTAATTGAAATTTGTTGGTCTTTATCCCGGTATGTTGCATCGTTTTATACCATGTGCTACCTTACTTTTTTTATCTTGTTGTCGTGTTTATGGTCTATTGTTTTGCGGCTAATTGCTATTTTTTGTGTTCACGCGTTTTTTTTTGTGATCAAAAGAAATTTTGTTCACTTGCATATTGTCCCTAATTATACTTAATCTTAATTAATTATATTGCGCTCACTCACGTATTGCGCTCACTCACATATAGCGCTCACTCACATATAGCGCACGCTCACATATTGCGCTCACTAACATATTGCGCTCACTCACATATTGCGCTCACTCATATATTGCGCTCACTAACATATTCCGCTCACTCACATATTGCGCTCACTAACATATTGCGCTCACTATCATATTGCGCTCACTATCATATTGCGCTCACTATCATATTGCGCTCACTATCATATTAATATTGCGCTCACTAACATATTGTGCTCACTCAAATATTGCGCTCATTCTCATATCGCGCCCACTATCATATTGCGCTCACTAGCACATTGCGCTCACTAGCACATTGCGCTCACTATCATATTGCGCTCACTCACACATTGCGCCCACTATCATATTGCGCTCACTATCATATTGCGCTCACTATCATATTGCGCTCACTAGCACATTGCGCTCACTAGCACATTGCGCTCACTATCATATTGCGCTCACTAACATATTGCGCTCACTAACGTATTGCGCTCACTATCATATTGCGCTCACTAACATATTGCGCCCACTAACACATTGCTCTCACTAACGCATTGCGCTCACTAACATATTGCGCTCACTATCATATTGCGCTCACTCACATTGCGCTCACACACTCGATGGTGAGCGGAAAGACGGCCTGTCATCCATCGCTGGGTCAACAAATAACTTCGCCCTTGCCTGTTGCGTAGCCGCGCTGTCCTGGCCTGTGAGTTCACGCGTGCACACTCTTGTATTGCCGCGTATATAATGCAGTTAATGCTGCAATTTACATACTATATCTTCAAATGTATGGGCAAATTGGTGGTTTTATTAATGCGTACATTAATTAACTATAACGTGTTTTCATTATTCCTCCTTCAAATATATGGGTAAATTGGTGGTCTTAGTATTAATTAACTATACATTAATTAACTATAACGCGGTTTCATTATTCCATGTCATTAATATTTTATTTTAGCATCAAGTGATTGTTTTAGTATTTCATATGTTAATTAACTATAACGTGTTTTTATTATTTCATTTCATTATTGAGTGATGGTGGTGGAAGATGATGGCAACGGGTGCGCTAGCATAGTCACAGTTAGAGAAATAGTTGAGACTTGGTCCGAATAACTATGCATTGTTGGTCTTTTTGTGGGTAATTCTGAGTCAGTTTGGCCCGGCAAAAGAGCGTAGCAGTGCTACGTCCGCTCCCTGCTCTCGCTGTGGATAAGAAAGTATGTCGCATATTTGGACAATATGAACCGTTAATTTTCAGGAGTACATAAAAGATGCGAGCGTGAAAGCGCGTGTCGTGACCGCCGCGTGTATGCCGCTGGGGGGCGACATGCCAGTTTCGCCTCCAGGGAAACCTTGTTGCTCTTCAAATGTGCTTTCATTCACAACTTTCCGCATGTATACCGAGAATTAGTTCGACTTTTATATTTCTCGCGCCGGACAAATTTCAGTAAATGCTCATGACATTGCTATATAATATTGGTACGCCGAACGGAACAGACTACTTTTGAATGTGTTTTAATTATTTAATATGATTCATTTCAAGTATTTTAGTTTAATTTCATTTAATTTCATTTAGTCAAGTTGTAAATATTGATAGGACTTTGCCCTGCAATGTGAAATATTCTCTATTCGTATTTGCATTTATTCATCGATAATTGCTTCTTACATCATGAGAATCAACAGATACTTTCGAAAATACAAGGAAATGATAAACTTTCGGTAGTTAATCCATTCCAAATTTCCAGTATAATGCTAGAGATCGCCTCAGTGTTCGCCAGGCTCTCGTTGGGTGCGGTGCGCGTAGCTCCGGCGTGACCGTCATCACTGGCGATCGACGTGCGTGCGAGTGAGACGAACGTTCGATAACTTTCCTCCATTGATCGATCGTGATTCATTTCTGTTAATTTGATGGCTTATCTATATTTTAAATTGGATTTTTGAATAGAGTTTATTATCTAGCAATTTTTGTGATCTCCAGGAGTAATTTAATCGTGGTCTGAGTTATTTAAATTATAAATAACAATAAATGAATAAAAATTTTCGTAAATTTTGATGTAAGAAGCTAACAATAAAAACAGGCTCTACGGAAGACTTATTTGCGATTTTGTTGATAGCTAAAACAGAACTTCCATTTTTTTCGCTGGAAATTTCAGAAAATTTGTGGCTCAACTATTGCTTATCCGTCTTTGCTAATCCCATACCATCGTCTTGCGGCCCTGCAATAAGACCCCATAATTCCGCTCCATTTCTCTTGGTGAATGCGGTCACGATGAGCTGGAGCTGTCCTCCATTATTGACATGCCCTTCTTTATTATACAGGGTGAACCAGAATTAACTGACCCTTTTAATTTGTTAATAAATAAAAAACTAAGAACGTTATGAAGTTGAAACTTGTTTCATTTAAAAGATAAAAGAAGAACATTTTTATGGTAATATTGTATCCTAGTTAAAATATTGTATCCTATTACAATATTTTATTATTGTATTAGTTAAAATATTGTATGTAATATTGTATCCTAGTTAGTTATTGTATCCTAAAAACTAGGATACGATATTACCATAAAAATGTTCTTTTAAATAAAACAAGTTTCAACTTCGTAACATTCTTAGTTTTTTATTTATTAACAAATTAAATGGGTCAGTTAATTGTGGTTCACCCTGTATTACCGCCGCGTCATCCAATCTTCCTTGAATAGCTCGATCCAGTATTGAGTTCGTCTCTCAATCGGTCATGAAATACGCAATTTAGACCTCAGTCTTGTATAGCTTCATACAGTTTACACACATCCAACATTAAAGTCCCGTTCTGTATTTCACAATCCAAATGAATAGCTCGATCCAGTATTGAGTTCGTCTCTCGATCGGTCATGAAGTACGCAATTTAGACGTCAGTCTTGTATAGCTTCATACACAGTTTACACACATCCAACATTAAAGTCCCGTACTGTATTTCACAATCGGAAATTTCTTAGGTTTGTTGTAGTGATAATTTAACCCTATCGTGATTGACGGGATTTCTCGGTCCCAAGCCATTAGGTACGAATAGCATTGACGACGGTGAATGATTCCGAGACGAAAGGGTTAACTTGTTCGGCAACACTTCAGTTCATAATGATTTAATGTTTGAACTTTTAGAATAATCACTCAGCCACATTCTGGCCCGCGAAGAACTTTCGTTCTTACACAGGATATTTAAAGTGTGTGGCATTTGCTACGTAATTCGTAAGGTAAAATAGCAGGACTAATAAAGTCTCAAAATATAGGCTCGTATAGACAAACCCTAACTTTCTTCAGCTATTTGTTTTCTCGGTGCTCCTGTGACGAGCGCCTGACACGCTCTTGCCATCACGCTATGTCATTCAACTAGATTCGATGTCTGTGAAGAATTAAGGACCTGTTCCCTTTGGGGTCGTAAAAAACTCATTTATACCTTATGAATATGACAGGATCTGTAGATTTTGGTCTTCCAAAAATTGATGTCATAACTCTCTACCAACTTTATAATTTTTTGCATAGGCTCATTTCTTTCATTTCTACTTCTTTTTGTATGGGCCCTCGTTTTTCTAAGCTCACAAATTAGTGGACTCATCGTCCATCATTGTAATTTAATAACGCACTGAAGCGTCTTCACTAAATTAAATTAAACCGCCCACTAATTGCTCAATTTATACAAATTTAATAATTCAATGTAATTTCATGAATACAGATAAGTTTGTTTTGTATTGGAAGCCTGTCAGTACACTAATCAAAGACCACAATGAATTATAATTATTTACAGCCACAATTTATTGTTTAAACTGTCAAATTCAAGGCGTGGACAATGCTTCATCTGTCTTTACATTTTCTTTTAATTAAATTCTTTTGAATTCGTACATTCATTCGACAGTCCGTATACTTTTTAATTTGTATTCCTATAAAGATTCCTATATTGTCAGATATGTGAACCGGTGACAAATTATCACTCTTTCTCAACCTCAGGACCAACGATTTTCAGGTTATAATTACGAGAAAGTTTTCAGTGCTCAATGTTAATTTTGTGATGCTTGGTGCATCGTAAGTGTTTATGAGTGTTGTGTACGCCGGTCGATGCGTATAAGTAGGCGTCGTACTCTTGAGGCTATAACAATTCATTGATTTCATCATCATAAAGTGCATGATAACATAGAGGCAGCTAAAGGCTGCCATGCTCTGGTGTGGTTGCATCGAAAGGATCGCACAGGTGAGAGAACTAGCGGTAATTTACGAAGAGTTTAGTGTCGAAAATAAAGGTGCTTTATTTGTGGTGAAATCTGATGTGTATTCAAGTTCGCTTCTTCTGAAATGAAATGTGATTAGCACGAAATCATAATCAATTCACTTTATTCACGATTTTATTTTTTGTGTTTCTAACATAAAGCCTGTTTTCGTTCTGATATTGTTAGGACAAATATGTTTGAATTGAATAATAATCATTTAATATCTAACAATATGTTACATGTTGAATAATTACGAAATTTTTACGATACACGTAGTTGACAAGTGACTCTGGATGTCTTGAAGACATGATGCTTGATAATAGGCACGAAAGATTGTAACGAGGCCAAGCGATATAAGGCCAAGAGAAGAAAAGAAGTTAATATGTACCAGTTCAGTGATTAGGCGGCGGGACTGGTTTTTTGATTTTAGAAAACCTGCGCGGATGATGTCTGACCGAGAACCACTTTGTCGTGGCGTAAAGAACGGCGTTTGCATGGCTGAACGAAAACTTGGTTGTGCCGAACAAGACGACCGGCGTAAAACTAACGTCTTGAAAGCCCCGTCTGACTTATTTTTGGCGCCGTGTTATATGACAGTAACAATACAGTGTAAATTTGCTGCGTTACTCGTATTGATTTTCAGGGTCTTGCTCCTAGAGGTTTATGGTCGAGATTGTAAGTGGAATGATGATGAAGTTGGGAACACATCTAACTTCTTTGATATTTTGACCGGTTCTTCGTTAAACAAATGGACGGGACTGATGTATTTTCTGTATGGGTGTCTCGTGCTGTGAATTGCATGGACTGTCTAGGCGATCAACTTAATTTCAATCTATTGAGTCGGTTATAATCTTACAATATTACATTAGTCCTTCTCATTGCTTATTTAGTCAGATGCGTGTTACGATCTATCGGCCGATAAATGGCAGCTATCAATCGTGCACTATTATTTCTAAGCAGTAAATTAATTTCTGAAGAAATACCAAATGTGAAAGTTGGAACAATCTCTTGCCAGAATTGATTTGTCAGTTATTCGCATATGTGGCTTCTTGTGAGGTACCTGGCGTGGCTGGCCGAGCGGATGGCCGACAAAGGGTCGGAAGTGCGGCAGGTGGCGGACGGATAATCGTGTCCGCAGTAGCGGATTATTTGCGTCCGTCCATCGTGGGGCTCCGGAAGCCGCCCCCGACACGCGGGTCTGGCTCGGCGTCGTGAGAAAACATCGAGGGTTCTTCCTCTGCTCGAGTAAAAATATTTTCAGTACTTATTGTTCATGTGGATAAATCGTTCGACTGCTTACAATCAAGGAAAATTTACCTTACAATGCCAGGAAAATTTACCTTATTTTCATTAAAAATGCTACGAAGACCATTTTCATCATCAGTTAAGAAATTTAATAATATAATTATAATCGAGAGAGTATAATTATAAAATCGTGATCTTTACAACTTTGACTGGCCAGTGAAAATGAGGCGACGTAATTACCTATCAATTAACAATTCATGATAATAATAATTTTAGGTTGCGTCGTAGAATTTACTTGTCTAAAAATTTTCCAGCGGCCTTAGGTGAAGGCTGCGAGACATATGAGATGCATTTGCGAAAGGATGGGTCTTGGAATTTCTGTTCCCTATTCTGACAGTTAAAATCATATTGTGGATGAGAGCATCGTGCGCTTCGTCTCTGAGGCATACATTGGTAACGGCTTCAAGTGGCAAAATACTTTTGCCGGGGCTATCTCCAGATAGACACCAAATTACTACTTCCGACTATTTATTTCAAAAATTCGCGAAAAATGAGATTTGGGAGATTTGTAGAGAAATGATTAATTTAGCATTGGTTGATACCTTTCATTTCGTTTTTATTAACGCCCTACCAAAGGTAGCTTCTCTTTCTTCCCCTGTAGAAACGAGCATTATTCAAACCATACGACCGTTTCCGGTGAAATTTTATAATCGCTTGTGGGTACAGGATTTTAGCACTGACCTGTGTGAAGGAACTGCTGGATGAGGTGGGTGCGCAAGTAGATTCCTATAAAACGGGGTTTCCCGTCCCGGTGTTTCGTTGATCCGATGAAGAAGTTACGCAGCGTTATAAGGTCGTACACTAACGTGCAATACGCAAAAGCCGTCGTAAACCAGAGATGACCGCATCTGCGAGCATCCGAATTTCCTCATGTCACGCATGTTAATTACGATGAACAAAAGACGGGAGGGTGAAGCGCAATAGTCTCTCATTTTTCAGTATTTGAGAAACAAACAGTTTACTAGTCATTTGTCCTTGCATCTAATGACACACATACGTACTTTCTATGCCATTTAAGAGCCACTAATTCTGGTCAGGATTTCTGGTACTAATTGGGTAATAGATAATTGGAATAATCTCCGATAACGGCTGTAGCCGCTCGTCGCAGCACCAATTTGAATATGAACACGAGCGTGACCAGAAAGCAGCTCGACAACAGCTGCTCCGGCTCAAGCCTCTACAAAGACTTCCCGTTTTGTGTATAATTTGTGTATTCCGTTAATGCGGCTCCGTTGTAGCACGTATCAACAGCTGCTACATCTCATGACATGCACTCTATAGCACCGTTGGCCCGATACGTCGTATATAAGTCGTTATGGTGTGTAATGTTTGTCCGGTACTTTACTTGAGCATGTGCATGTATGTTTATGATCGTGCTTAAGATTATTATTATATCATGATTCATATCAGCGCATGATATCATGCACTCTAAAGCACCGTTGGCCCGATACGTCGTATACAAGTCGTTATGGTGTGTAATGTTTGTCCGGTACTTTACTCGAGCGTGTGCATGTATGTTTATGATCGTGCTTAAGATTATTATTATATCATGATTCATATCAGTGCATGATATCATGCACTCTAAAGCACCGTTGGCCCGATACTTCGTATAAGTCGTTATGTTGTGTAATGTTAATCCAGTACTCTACTCGAGCGTGTGCATGTAGTATGTTTATGATCGTGTTTGAGATTATTATTATATCATGATTATATAACGTATCGAATTATTATTATACGGCAATGCTGTGCAAGATTAGTGCGTTGTTAGTGTCTAAGTGTGGCTCTAATTGAAGGGCTATCACTCGTACAATTGTATATCACTCATACAATTCAGTATTGTCCACATACAGTCTTTATGTTAGGGTTAGCATCAGTGTTCGTTATTTGTGATGAAAGTTTTCAGACGAGCAGATGAATGACGTTTCAAATAATGGTATTGGAACAAATCACACCGATTAAGAATTTAAAAGCAAAGAAAACAGTCATAATATTAATTTTTTCATTCTTAAGACATGGTGAATATTTTGGCTGTTTTCTTTGCTTTTAAATTCCTGATAAACTTGCGATTTAAGCAATCAAGTAATTTTAATACTCACTCAGATTAATTTCGTATAGATAAAAACATACGCCATTATATTCTTCTTACTGAAATCTTTGATTTCCATGAACTCTTCTTCGCTGTATAGTTGCCATCCGAACTGCTGTGCGTCGACACCGCTTTCTGGGAAGTTCTATTTTTACGTCGCGTGTTTACTGCTAACGAAGCCTACCTTCATTCACCACCTCAACACACTTCAGAGGCTATCGCCATTCATCGCTTCTCGGTACCGTGTTGCTTTTGCTCGAAATTGAACGATGTTATTCTAATTGGTTATCGTGACATGTGGTTTCATTGATAAATTGCCTTCAAATATGTTGTCTGCACTAGACATCGTATTTTCTGGCCTCTGGAGAATTTGAGTGCATATTTATTCACTAATTTAGGTTAGGTACGTTTTTTTACATTTTACTGTACTGTGCGAGAGCTAATGCCATCCAATCTAGTGAGTGAGTTGAGTGGCTACACCAACTGAATATTCCAGAATTTTCAACTATTCATCGCAGAGTTTACCTCAATATGTTTTGCGGAACACTTAGTCTTACGTCGCTAAGTTACTTCAATATGTTTTGCGGAACACTTAGTCTTACGTCGCTAAGTTACCTCAGTATGTTTTGCGGAACACTTAGTCTTACGTCGCTAAGTTACTTCAATATGTTTTGCGGAACATTTAGTCTTACGTCGCTAAGTTACTTCAATATGTTTTGCGGAACACTTAGTCTTACGTCGCTGGTCCTCGCACGCAAACGACGAGTGTGAGAGCAACATACGGTCTTTCGTAACGTTCGGATGACGTATGTTCGGCTCGGTTATCGCAACGCTCATAACAGATGGCGGCGGCTCGTCTCTCCGCTGGGAAATCTCGCTCTTCTCTCTTGAGGCTTGCGCTGTTAATATATACTGTCACAGCAACTGTTATTTTTGCTTAATTTGTTACTTTACCTAACAGCAACTGTTACTTTTATTAGAAACAGACAACTACTGTTACTTTTATTAAAAAGGACAACAACGTTACCGCGAGCAGCTTTCGTCGTAAGTTATCTTTGTAGGTACGTGTTTGAAGTTCTACAAAATATCTTTACATTGCACCCGAGTCATCGGTAAATATATCTAACGCAACGCGTTGAATTTGTCCTGTGTCGCTATTCCTATCATAATTAACAACTTTCCAATTACTTCAAAACTATGTTAGCTTTTGCGTGGAAGCAATCATTGTTCCTTCAGTCGCAATGAGACGCCGGGGTTGCGGCATGCTTGAAGCGATAGCTCTCAACCACGATACGCGGAAGGGAACTCGAACCGGTTCAATTATCCCGACTTGCAGCACCACTTTCATATTTAGTTCAGCCGATCACCTTATAGGGTTTTATGAGCACCGATTGGCGATGTGCACATGTTGGCTGCTGAAATTACTGATGCCTATACTTGAACGAATCACTTATACGCGTCCATGCTCGAATGAATCACTTATACGCGTCCATTCTCGAACGACTCACTTATCCGCGTCCATGCTCGAGCGAATCATTTATCTGCGTCCATGCTCGAGCGAATCACTTATATATACGCGTCCATGCTCGAGCGGATCACTTATCTGCGTCCATGCTCAAGCGAATCACTTATCCGCGTCCATGCTAAAGCGAATCACTTATACGCGTCCATGCTCAAACGAATCACTTATCCGCGTCCATGCTCGAATGAATCACTTATACGCGTCCAGCATGAACAAATCACTTATCTGCGTGACGCTCAAGCGAATCACTTATCCACGCCCATGCTCGAATGAATCACTTATACGCTTCCATGCTCGAATGAATCACTTATACGCGTCCATGCTCGAGCGAATTACTTATCTGCGTCCATGCTGGAGCGAATCACTTATCCGCGTCCATGCTGGAGCGAATCACTTATACGCGTCCATGCTCGAGCGAATTACTTATCTGCGTCCATGCTGGAGCGAATCACTTATCCGCGTCCATGCTGGAGCGAATCACTTATACGCGTCCATGCTGGAGCGAATCACTTATCCGCGTCCATGCTCGAGCGAATCACTTATCCGCGTCCATGCTCGAGCGAATCACTTATCCGCGTCCATGCTCGAGCGAATCATTTATCCGCGTCCATGCTCGAATGAATCACTTATCCGCGTCCATGCTCGAGCGAATCACTTATACGCGTCCATGCTCGAGCGAATCACTTATACGCGTCCATGCTCAAGCGAATCACTCATCCGTGTTTTTGCTTAAGCGAATCACTCATCCGCGAATCACTTATCCACACCCATGCTCAAGCCAATCACTTATCTGTTCAAATTGCGGAAGCGTTCAGCTTAGTTTGCTTGAAACATGTTAAAGCTGGAAAACCATTCGTCTTCAAGTTATGGTTTATTTCTAGCCTTATTTCAAATTAATTCAACTGCGTATTTTACTGCGCATACCCAACGAAAAATATTGTGAAAAAGATCGTTGACGGACCGCAGTGAATAGATTAACCTACTTTGTAACCAACTTGTGATCAAGCGTGATAACGTTTAAAACTAAACAATGTCGTGATGGTATATGATTGTATTTGCTGCGCCGTGAGTGTTATTTTTCGAATGTTCGTGCGCATAACAAAGGCGGTACCCAGTGAAATTTTACAGACGCGGCAGCTTCTGATTTAGATTACCGGAAGCTGGGGCGACTCTAAATTTTGTTAGGGTATAAGGGGTAGGGGCAGTAACGGCAACCGCCAAACAGCATCCTGATCTGCGGAAGCGAATGTCGAAGGCCTAATCCCATAGGGATTAACCATCACTAATTATTTATTTCCATGTAATCGTTGGTATAAGTATCTTATTTTGGTTAATAATTCACTCTACAGATTTTCGTGGATGCAAGGAAATTGTGTTTTTCAATTCGTGTAGAATTGAATGACGCAACATCATTAAATAATTAGTAACAATAATAACAATAATTAACAAACAATAATTAGTAAGTAATAACATTTCTTGCGCTGGAAATGTTGATCAATTGTCTTTACTTTGAATTCTACCTACAAAAATATCGGAAATTGATTATCTACATAGTATATACTTTTCATAATCGAAATCATTTCTTTATTGTTGTTTAGCGAAAGTTATGAATTATCATGACCGTAGATATTTGTGATCTTCTTACATTAATATCGAGATCAATGTTAGTGAAAATTATTGTTAGTGTTTATATTTAACTTGGTCATGTGTTGATGTAAAGTTTTCTTTGCAGGTGAGTGGGCGTGGCGAAGACCTGTACAAGACTGAGGTAAATCTCTTGATTATGTGTGGCTCAACTATGGTACTTAGCAAGTAATTTGAACCATATTTTAAGACGCTATTTTATGAATATTTCTTAAATAAGATTTATCTTTATCACTTTTCTAGATAAACCAGTTTTATGCATTTCTTTTTAAACGAGCTTTATTACTTTTTTAGATGAACTCCCTTTGTTTTACTATAATTACAAATGTAAAATATGATCTTCATAGCCTATAATTTAAAGTTCCGGATTAGTTTAATTAGTCATCGTTATTAGATTAGCTTAATTTGAATTAGCCCTCAATTACTCGTAATTAATTTTGAAGGCAGGACGTTTGGGTGTAAATAAAATTATTTATTAAAAGAAATTATTTATTCTTCCATGGTGCCGAAGCGAATAAATAAATGCTCTTCATAAATCCATCAGCTAATTACAATGCGAGATTTAAACTAAACTCACCAATCACAGAATCAGAACACGGATTTAATAATTGTTATGTTCATTAATACATAATATATAAATAAATCAACTAATTACAATGCGGGATTTAAACTAAACTCGCCAATAACAGAATCAGAACACGGATTTAATAATTATTAATCATGTTCATTATTATATAATATATAAATAAATCAGCTAATTGCAATTAATGCGGGATTTAAACTAAAATTCACCGTTTAAACTAAAACTCACCGTAAAACTCAAAACACTGATCTAATAATTGATTATTATGTTCATAAATATATAATATATAAATAAATCAGCCTATTGCAATGCCGGATTTAAACTAAACTTACCAATCACAGAATCAGAACAGGGATTTAATAATTATTTATTATGTTAATTATTATTATTAATTATTAACCCGGCGGAGAATGTATTGCGTCATGCCACATCAGCCTGTGAGTCACGCTGCCTAAAGGGAGAGCTGCTGGTCGCTGTCCACTGCACGCGTTCACTCAGAAATATTGAGACATTTTGTCCAAATAGCGATGCAGTTCTTGCCATTGTGTGCGCCTGCCTGACCCAGTTTTGTCTGGGAAAAGGACGTATCAGTGTGTTACAGGCAGAGTGTGTGACTATTTGGATAATGAGACTCCTTAATTTTTGTCAGTGGTACAAAGGCCCCTCTTCCGGTACCCCACATAACCCCCCCCCCTCGAACTGCATATCTATAGGTACATTGTTTATTTTCCTATTATTACGTGGTTTCAATGTAAAAAAAAAGTAACTAATGTCAAACGACTCTGATCTTCATGCAGTAATGCCGTTTGAGCATTTTACTTCACTTGTACAGGTGACATCCCAAATGAAATTCGAAAAATGTGAGGCTATACTTGCTACTACAATGAAGTAGTGATATTTCACAATCAAAGCGGTCAATAGGTATCTCAATAATATTTGTCTCTAATTAAAGGAAAATGAAGGCATATCTCTAAAAATATTTGTCTCTATTAACCAGAATTCTATGATGTTCAGTTTCCGATATCATGTATACGAACCACAGACACGGGATTTACCGTTAAAAATGACATCCATTTACGTTTTTTACTTTGGGGTTATTTTGAGCTTTCACTTCACCTTTGAAGTTATTTTATTAATTGCATATACTGTAAATGTTCATTAAAATCAAAGTACAAATATTACCATTTGTGAACCAGCAACGATCCAGCCTTTTTATGTTTGTATCTGTCTTTGACAAGGTACCGTAAGTTAGAACAAAAGCCTCACAAAGCTCTGCTTGCAAATTAGGTCCATTCTCTGCGTAAGAATTTGTTTATGCAGTCGATTGCTTGCATTTCGTAACTGTATATTATTAACCGTATATTTACCGTATACGCCACGAGCGCGGATCTAAACCGCATATTATTAACCGTATTTATATTTCGTAACCGTATATTATTAACCGAATTTGTTTATGCGGTCGATTGCTTGCATTTCGTAACTGTATAGCCAACATTATTCGTCTCCTATAAGAGACGGTCTGCACGAATAGATACGAGTGCGCACAAATGATGTACATTTTTATTTGCCTTTTTTATTTTATTTTTATTTAAAGCATTTTTTATTCTCCTTGCCCGCAAATAAGCTTTACGTCACTGCTTAACAGCATATAATTATATGCAAATAAGTGCTGTTGCACTTGCATCCCAGGCTCGTCACGTGCTGCCATGTAACAATGTAACAAACAGATAATTTGTTGTCCATGTGCAACTGTAGCGTCTTGGTGAACTGAGATGCTGTCTCTATTATGCGTTATATGCTATCCTTATTAAGATAGTTTGCTAGCAATTTTATGTAATTTTGAGTAATTCAGTTGCTCGTGAGTTTATTAGAACTTGAAATTTTGTTATCCGAAATCAACCATAATTCAAAGCCTTACAATGCTTTCATATATTTATCCGATATTGAAATCTATTCGCCAGGTTCAAGGCTGGATTTCGAATACTTTATATTGTCTGGTGAAATGTACATAGCTTGATGCCTTCTATACAGTACCAGTAAACCGCTCAGCTAATTTCATACTTTGAACTAAACAATATTTATTTCATCTTCGTGAAAGGCGGATGTCAACTTGTTGATCTATCATCTATGAGCTTCTTTAAATGGTCAAAACTTCAGATCGGCATAATCTTATCATTTGCAATCGTGTCTTCATTGCAAAACCACACGAGTGTTATATGTATGCCCGACTTGATCTTGTGTAAGTTTCATTATACTTGTTATTGCTCATCTGGGTTAGGGTTATGTTTAGTATGTTCATGTCCATTGATCAGCGTGTTGACTTGAGACTGATTATTGTACGTCATTAAATTGTGATGATCAATCATTAAACTGTGATGATCAAGAATGTTTTCGCTGTATCTGGAGTGTGCGATCTTGCTGCTCACTTTGCTACACACTCCTTTGTTGTAGCTGAAGTATATTTTTTTTACTTTCGTGCCCAATTAATTTTAGAAAATAAGACATTATAAATAGACCAAATTCATCCGCTTTAGCACCAAGTGGTATAAGGTTCTCAGTTGTCATAATCGTGGTGTGTTTGTTGTTGCTGATGAAATTTGTAGAAATCATTGTTGCTGATGAAATTTGTAGAAATCATTGTTGCTGATGAAATTTGTAGAAATCATTGTTGCTGATGAAATTCGTAGAAATCATTGTTGCTGATGAAATTTGTAGAAATCATTGTTGCTGATGAAATTCGTTGAAATCATTGTTGCTGATGAAATTCGTTGAAATCATTGTTGCTGATGAAATTTGTACAAATCATTGTTGCTGATGAAATTTGTAGAAATCATTGTTGCTGCGAGCCCTCACGAGTGTCCCTTTGTTCCCCATGCTGCCCTCTGGACCGCCCTCACCAAATGCTCGTCTGCATCGTGAGCATCACTAAACTGCTACCACATGTTCACGTCCCACTAAACATGTTCATTTTTTATCATTTTCCATGTACGTTTTGACGTGTTTCGAATATATTATCCATCCGATCACCTCATATTTACATATCTTCTTTTTAATTTTCTTTGCTCATTGCATAATAATTACATATCTTCTTTCAAATTTTGTTATATTTGCTCATTGCGTAATTTTCTGGATCGGTGCATCTCTCCATGACATGACTGTTTACTGGCATGTTAAATTCTGTTAATTATTTCATTTGACATATTAACTGTCTACTTCCATTCTCTGAATTTGGTACTAGTTTTTCATGCGCTTCTCACTAATGTTCACGAATTTTTTTTTATCGACAATTCTTTCTCTGGTTGTTGAATTCAATGTTTTCTTGCTCATCTATCTGCTTTTTTTTCTTGATTCTAAATTTTCTAAATTTTGTTTGTAAATTTATCACCTCTGGTTGATGAAACAATCATCTGATCGTGCTGATTTCCATCCCTTCGGTACGCTATAAAACTCCGTAATTGTTATTTACTCAATTATATCCCCCTCGCTTTTTATCTTATCTTTCTTATTTTTTCCGCTTTATTTGCAAATTATCTCCTTCATTGCCTTGATTATTTCTACTTCTTTCATCCGATTGTTTACTTTTCTATGGTTTCTATCGTTGTTGATTTACCCTAAACACTGGTTCCTATCGTTTTGATTTACCCTAATCACTGGTTTCTCTCGTTGATTTCCCCTAAACACTAATTTCTGTCGTTGTTGATTTACCCTAAACACTTGTTGCTGTCGTTGTTGATTTACCCTAAACACTTGTTTCTATCGTTGTTGATTTACCCTAAACACTGGTTCGTATAATTTTTTATTTACCCTAAACACTTGTTGCTGTCGTTGTTGATTTACCCTAAACTCGTTGTTGATTTACCCTAAACACTGGTTCGTATAATTTTTTATTTACCCTAAACACTTGTTGCTGTCGTTGTTGATTTACCCTAAACACTTGTTCCTATCGTTTTGAATTACCCTAAACACTTGTTTCTGTCGTGGTTGATTTACCCTAAACACTTGTTTCTGTCGTTGTGCATTTACCCTAAACACTGGTTTCTGTCGTTGATTTACCCTAAACACACGCCGGTGGCGTCACTCTCACCCTCATCGTGGCGCTCGCTAAGCAGGCTCAAGAGACGTCCCGCGCGCGGCGACATCGAGTAAGTGTCAGCCTTTAGTTACTCGTAGCCCTCGTACCATCGAGTGTCAGCCTTTAGTTACTCGTAGCCCTCGTACCATCGAGTGTCAGCCTTTAGTTACTCGTAGCTCTCGTACCATCGAGTATCAGCCTTTAGTTACTCGTAGCTCTCGTACCATCGAGTATCAGCCTTTAGTTACTCGTAGCCCTCGTACCATCGAGTGTCAGCCTTTAATTACTCGTAGCTCTCCTACCATCGAGTGTCATCCTTTAATTACTCGTAGCCCTCGTACCATCGAGTGTCAGTCTTAAGTTACTCGTAGTCTGCAGCTACGTATTTCCATGCATATCACTGCTTCTGTGTGCAAGTTTTTAAGAAATACGCATAAAAGATTTCGCCTTTGTAGATTCCACAAAAGATTTACTAGCACCTGCTCCTATTGGACGTTGAATGCTGGATATTCGTAGAATGTATTTTTTTCCGTTGTTAGGTAGCCGTCTCGATGTATACTTTCTATTTGTATGTGATCGCCTTGCTTTGATCCATTTAAAGATATTTTCTTTTTTAACGCACACTCGTGTACCGTTTGACGTAGACATTCCTTGAACTATATTACTTCTTGAAGAGTTATCACTATATTATCTCTTCTGATTGCTGATACTTGTGTGTTGCCCTGAAATTATTGTCTTCTGTTATAATAAGAATCGATTATGATATTGGAGTGGCTTAAGAGCCACTCCATTTCCATTTGGTGACAAAAAAATTTTAATTCTCTTTACTTCTGTTTTATAATGTACAGTAGAAGACTAGATGTTTATTCATAAATTTTTTAATATTAAGTATTCTTGTGCGCGTTAATTGGACGAATAAAAATCTTTCGCAAGAAAAAATCTTAATGAAATATAGAAAACTTTGTGATGTTGATTCATTTTCAAGAACTATCAATGGACACTTAATATATATAACTAAAGCATATATTGTCATGGCACTAGACGACAATCCATGATAATGGAGACGGCTTGGTAATATTGAGAGGCCTTTCCTGCACAGATGCTACTTGTATGGCCGATATTGAGTTGGTATGAGAAGTGTAAGCCTAACTTGCGACCCTTGCTCTCTGGGAAGGAGGGTGAGAACGCGACTGCTGTATAGCTATAGCCTTCCTGAAGTCGAGTTGTGACGATAGCTGACGATTTCTAGACTTAACCTTACATACTCTTACATTCCCATCCATTTCATCCACATCCGTCTTCTTATTTAATCTATTGTGAGAGTAACTGTCTCAGAAGCTAATCTTCTAATGAAATTACGACTCAAAAATTCTTTCTCTAGATTTTTTCTCATATACGCCTATTTATTAAATTTGTACGAGCATTGCTCCGCAGTAATGCTCAATGTATTTCTTAGCATTTTTTATAGAAAAACCTATCATACCTAAAACTTATCGTACCTAAAACCTATCGTATCTAAAACCTATCATACCTTAAACCTATCATACCTAAAACTTGTACCTAAAACCTACCATACCTAAAACTTATCAAACCTAAAACTTATCATACCTAAAACTTATACCTAAAACTTATCATACCTAAAACTTATCATACCTAAAACCTATCATTCCAAAAACCTATCGTACCTGATAAGAATGGCAAGAGTCGGCAAGTCAGCTCAATTTATCCCGCTATTGTCGATGTCATGTATCGATCGCGCTGTAGAAACCATCGGTCGCCAGGGCTGCCGGACGACCGTTTGTGCTCTGCGACTCACTGAGCATTAAGATTGTTATACCCCTGATATTTATACAAATATTATACACCCGCGATTGATGATATACGAAAATAATGAACTATTAGAAATAATGAACTCGTTAACGAGAAAATAATGAACTCGTTAGAACTATTTCTCTGGAGAACATGAACATAATTCTCCTATTCTGCTAATTATCTTAATTTACTGTCTCTGTCTACTTTACAGTGACTTTAATTTACAGTATAAGCATATGTGAATGTTCTTATGTGCCGTATATATAACAATTAATAAGTTTTCATACAGCTAAGCGCGCTCGTATTATTACTCTTGAAATCCTCATACCGCAAATGCGGCAGCACATGGATGATTTTTCTTTATTGGAACTTATTATATAAACTGCGATGTTTTTGCTCTGTACGCATGGATGGTAGCTGTACTGAGTGGCTGTTGTTGAGGCCGTGCAGCGCCGGTATAGGCCTACTCTCTCCCCTCGCACGCGCCGCTTCCCTCACTTCCGCTACCTTTTCTATCTCCATCTCAACTTCTCTCACTCCATCTCAACTTCCCTCACTCCGTCTCAACTTCCCTCACTCCATCTCAACTTCCCTCACTCCATCTCAACTTCCTTCACTCCATCTCAACTTCCCTCACTCCATCTCAACTTCCCTCACTCCATCTCAACTTCCCTCAGCCATCCCTGTGCCAGCTAACTCAACTTCTCACGCAACGAATTTATACAACATTCTTACGCCAGCGGTAGGTCCATGTGGGAAGAAAATTATCTACTAATAAACTAGTCTCCTTGTTCGAACAAAGAAACGTTGCTGATGGTGTTCCTAGATCTACTTTATTATTTCATCGATAAATTTCGATCCCCCTGTAAACCATATATGTATACTCGGATACATATAAACTATTCATATCGTTGTAAATTTCATGTAAATTGTCTATAATTTTTCGGAACTTATTTCAATGGTACTGGACTGGACATCTTGGATTTTTTTAATAGGCGGACACAAAAATGTTCAGTGTGTGATCACTACCTCTTGCTCTCTGGCCATCTTGTTCTCATGTGTAATGGTAATAACACTATCGTCAATAGCACTACAGTTGCCACTGTGATTAACTCGCCATTTTCCACCAAAAATAATTTTATTTGTAAGAATAAAAGCACAAAAACCCCAAATCGTTTGAGGACGTATGAATGACGGTAGAAATTGTAAATCAGGCAATTCAGTATGTGAAAATAGCGAGCATTGACATGTATACTTGTTCTCTCGTAGTCTCAATCCCTTTCGTATTCTGGTACTCGAAAAATAGGTAGTAGCTCGAGACAATTTCTTCCACTGGAACTTCGGGTGCCATTTTGGCATTTTGGGTTCCGAACAAAGCAAAGAAGCGCTGAAAATGTTAGTCGAATTCATTGGATCTTTGGTTCGGTCATCTCACAAGATGGGAGGTGATGAGGAATGCTGATGGTCGTCACTCCCTCTTCCGGAGGTTGGGGTAGGAGGCTTCCTCGTGATGTCTTCGTCGCATCACAGCTGACGTCAGCACCGGATACCCGCTGGCCTGCCCGGCCTAAAACGGACGTGTTCTCAGCCACGCTCATTCATTGTACCTGCCGTGAATTGCGATGCAACGTTTTTATGGAAATAGAGGGACCATCGGCTCCTCGGAAAGGGACTAAACTATTTGAAACTTGGTTCCTCGGAAAGGAACTAAACTATCTTAAACTTGGCTTCTCGGAAAGAGACTTAACTATCTGAAACTTGTATCCTCGGAAAGGAACTTAACTATCTGAAACTTGGCTTCTCGGAAAGAGACTTAACTATCTGAAACTTGGCTTCTCGGAAAGAGACTTAACTATCTGAAATTTGTATCCTCGGAAAGAAACTTAACTACCTATCTGAAACTTGTCGGCTCCGCGGAAAGGGACTTAACTATCTGAAACTTATCGGCTCTTCGGAAAGGGACTAAACCATCTGAAACTTATCGGCTCTTCGGAAAGGGACTAAACCATCTGAAACTTATCGGCTCTTCTGTGAAGGACTTATCATTCTGAAAATTGTTGGCTCTTCGCAAGGGGTCTAAACGATCTGAAACCTTTCGGCTTTTCGGAAAGGAACTAAACCATCTGAAACTTATCGGCTCTTCAGAAAGGAACTAAACCATATGAAACTTATAGGCTACTCGGAAAGGGACTAAACCCTCGTAAACTTGGCTCCCAGCCGTCAGTAATAATTTTGTTCATGATCGTTCCTCAATTCAGTAACTATGGAATTGATGTGAAATATTTGTCTCGTTTATACGTTCAGTCGTGATATAATTGACATGATAATTGTAACATGGTATAAATTACATTTAACCTTACTTACATGCGTTATACTGTGTTTTATCTGAATTATGACTGTTGTAAAAATTGGAAAAATTGTGTTCTCTGGCCTCGAGATGGCAAAGAATTGACATACGTGGTTAACTGCGAGTATTTAACGAACTGCAATTGAGAGGACACTTATTCCATTATTGGCCTTTTCGCATTTCGATGAATTTTCATACAATTAGAAGTCAGCATGAATTATTTTCAGTTTATGTCTCGATTGATATGCAGTCAGGCAGTCTATCCAACATTTATTATTATCATGAATCGTGAATCTCGCGTCTCGACGTTATGTCGAAATCTGAGCTCATCCGCTGATGAGGTCAAGCATGATTTATGGTGTGTATGATGTCTTGTGATGAACGCTTCTCACTGCAGTTATTGTGTCGTGTCTGCGAAAGGTTATTGAGTCACCACCCACTACAGAACAAAGTAATCTTCTGAACAGCCTTTTATAGGCTGACGCGCGAGCACCAAAACTTTAATTTCTCTTAAAATTACATTTTTTAGCACAAAAGAACATAGTTATAGTATTTAATTTCTGGGCTGCCGGTAATTCTTATTGTGGTTACCGTGTGAATGAAGTAAATCTAGTTATGCCAATCACAAAACTTTAGATCTGGCTTAAGTTGCTGCCAGGTATATTATCAATGTTGGAAAGAGATAACAGGCCTAAAGATAACGAGTTTCCGAGTAAATAGCATATTCTACTTCAGCACACCAATCAGCCGACTCCCGATCTGGTGCCATACTTTCAAAATTCGCTAAGTGAACGTAAGTACTTACGCTTTATTTTCTGGTCTATGATTGGTGGATTTTGCTTGAAAGGCCGTCAATGATTGGCAGATGAACTTACGATCTATTAACTTTTTTTGAAAGTATTGGCCCTGCC